TAACAGGACAAAATGTGGAAAGTTAAGGGGTAAGAATACTTTTTCAAGGCACTGTATACTGTGATCATCACTGTAGTAAGCAATCATAGCGTAAAAAAAAAAAAAAAAAGAGTAGTATAGTGAGGTAACACTGCACTGTTTTGTTGACTGTATCTAAAAAATTATTGTAAAACATACTGTCACCAGAGCAAGTGCAGTGTCACTATGGTGACATTTTACTGCTGTGGTGACCAGCTCTGATATTACTGTGTGTCACTGTCACCAGCCATTAAGTCTGATCACCACTACAGCAGAACAATGTCACCAGACCAGTGCTGCCAGTCAGGGTCCCTAAGTGCTGCCAGTCAGGGTCCCTAGTCATCACCATCCACTCACAATGTTCCTGATCACTGCCCCACCAATCACAGCATCCCTGATCATCACCACACCAGTCATACTACCGTATAATCATTGGTGGTCAGTGATACTTTTAAAGCCTCCCCCACCTTAAAAAGAAACCTTCCCTCCTGTCTTTCATTTGAGGTTCTCCTCGACCCAGAATTGGTAAACAAATCTTATTTGCTCGTAAGACCGCGGGTGGGTTATCTGTCCCAAATCTTCAGTCTTACTATCTGGCAGCCAATATTGCCCCCTTAGCCCATCTTCATGCATCTCACCACTTTCCCTTGTGGGCTACGATAGAGTTGATGGATTCCCACCCGATACCACTCTCATCTTTGCAGTGGCTTCCCTCTACTCATCGACCTTCATCCCTTAGTCTGACGCTAACGCTTTGTCATTGGGATTCTATTAAATATTCCGCTGGTCTCATCTCTGCCCACCTACCGTTACTACGTTTGCTACATAACCCATTATTCCCCTCGGGTTGTGATAACCCTGGACAGTTGGCTTGGTGGCAAGCACATGGCTTCCATGATGTACATTCGATGCTATCTCCCACTCGAATACTCACCTTTGAAACTCTGCACTCCTCTCATGATATCCCATTGCGGGAACATTATGGCTATCTTCAAATCCACCACTTTATCAATACATTAATACAGACGCACTCGGGACCCTACAGGTTGTCCCCCTTTGAAAATCAATGTAGACATAGACCCCATGCTCCGGGCTTAATTTCTCTGGTCTATTCTTCTATTACTTCTAGAACTCCCCCGGTCCGTTCTTATCATCAGCGTTGGCAGTCGGAACTTTGGGGCACTCTAGATCAACAGGATTGGCGGACCATGACCCAAGCGTTATCTAAATGCTCTAGGAATGTTATACTAGAAAATGCTTATAAGGTTCTTTATAGGTGGTATTACACACCTGCTCGTCTGGCTCGTTTTATCCCTACATAGTCCCCGACTTGTTTTTGGGGCTGTCAACAAATGGGTACTATGGTCCATATTTGGTGGACTTGTCCTAAGGTGTGCAGATTGTGGATCAGAGTTTATGCCCTTCTCCGTACTATGTTTCACACAGACATTAAGCGCAACCCGTATGAAGCGCTTTTATTTAAACCATTAGTGGGCCTACTTCGTCCTGAACGGCAGCTGGCATCACACCTGTTTATGGCTACCAAGCTGACGATCGCAAGGGCTTGGAAGACTCCCCTCCTCAGCTTCGAAGCTGTCAAAAGCTGGATGAACTTCATAATGGTCAATGAAAAACTGACGGCTATACTGCTAGACACCCACACAAAATTCCTGCAGACATGGTGTCCCTGGCTTGATATAGCCCAACCATCGAGATTCGACCAGTCCCTTTTGTCGATATAAAATTTACATATCAGTTTCTTTTTCTTTTTTTTCTGCTGCGATCCCCCTGGAGCCCTTTTTGTTTTCGTCTCCTTCCTCTTCGGTCCTCTCTTTCCTTTTGTCTAGTCTGTTTTCATGCTATGTGTACTGATTGTGATTATTGTATGTACTCTCCAGCGCCTCAGGATATGCTTCTTGCCTTGGATAATGCACTAGGTGTGTGCGCCACCTGTTTTCTCTGATTGTGATTATTGCTTTGAGCGCCGCACCAGCAATACTATATCCTTATGCTGGACTCCATCGGGATCCCTGCGTGTGGAATGCCCATTTTTATTCAGAGAGGTTCCATCTCATATCACCTCTGCTTTCTATATGCTATTATAGTGACAATTTTTCCTTAGAGTTTATATTCTCATTGGTCTATAAACGTTTCCCATTTTTGCAACTTTTTGTTTTCTTCCCTTTTTTTTTTTTCCTCTTTCTGTACTCGGCACTTAAGTATGCTGTTTATTTCTATGTCTCTCCATCAGTATATATTTTGTAATATTCATCGAATACTTTGTATGTTTTTTTCCTGTTGGTCAATGTATCTGTTTTTGACTGATTCACTGCTCCTCTCTGTTCTATAATAAAATTCTTTGTAAAAGAAAAAGAAACCTTGCTATCTAGAGTAAGTCAGTGGACATTGGCTTCACTCCCTCCCCTCTGGATATGTGGGTCCCAGACCCTCCAGGTGAGATAGTGGAGTTGGCGGGGGTACACTCACATGTGTAGGGGGGGTCACTTCTGGAGGTCAGTGGAAGCAGCTGTACAAACTCGTCAGATTTAGTCCAATGACGGCTACAGCGTGGTTGTCTGGTTCTGGGAGGGTGTCTATTAATGTCCTCCTAGAACCCCCCCCACCCGCGTGTACCCGTGGCGAGAGGTAAAGGGTCAATCACATCGGCCCTTTACCACATGATCAGCTGTGTCCAATCACAGCTGATCACAGTGTAAATAGGTTTGCCGGTTATCAGCAGTCTTCTCACGCAGCGTGAGATGAGAGCCGATTCTCACAGGGACATCTACACTGACAATCAGGGCACTGATTATCTGTGCAGCCCCACAAGTAACAATCAGCGCCCACTGATATTGCATATCAGTGCTGCCTCATCAGCGCACATCATTGAGCGAGAAAAAACATTTTTTTTTTTTTCAAAATGTTTTTTTTTTTCATTTGTTTAGCAAAAAATAAAAAACCCAGTGGTGATCAAATACCACCAAAAGAAAGCTCTGTTAAAAAAAAAGGTAAAAACTTCATATGGCTACAGTGATGTATGACCACACAATTATCATTTAAAGTATGACAGCACTGAAAGCTGAAAATTGGCCTAGACAGGAAGGAGGGTGAAAGTGCCTGGTATTGAAGTGGTTAAAAACCCCCGTTGCTACTGACATGTGGCCTTCAGTGAAAAGGTTAACCCCCCCCCCCCAATAAAGGGTATGAATTGGGGGACGACGACGACTCATGGCTTTTTTTTCTTAAAGGTTGGCTTTTCTGTTTACATTCTGCTGTCAGCAGGGATCAGTCCATGGTTGTTAGGACGCCGACGGAAGTTGGTTCCTTAACAACCAATGGCTCATCCCTGCTGCTGACGGTAGGGATGAGTCGCTGGTTGTTAGGATGCCAGCAGGCTCCAAACAACCAATGCAACCATGGGATATTTTCCACTTACACCTGTTTACATCCATTCCAATCCATTTCAACGGACCTGGATGGAGCCTAGTTCCATTTAAAAAAGTGGACGTGGATGTAAACAGATAATCTGTTTGCCCATAGAAATCAATTGCTGTAAGTTTTTCATCTGTCAGCAGACAGAACATCCATGTGAAAGGGGCCTTACAGTTCTTGCTAGAGGATGAAAAACCTTTGTTGATGTTGATTTTTTTTTTTGGCATGTTTATAGTTCCCCTGCTCAGTGTTGCTTTGAAAAGGAGCAGACTTTCTACATGTTTACTCACACACTGGTGAATGATCCCGTAGAAATGATCCACAGTGTTCCTTACTATGACCAGAAGGATTACACCTTTATATCTTACCAGTAATATTATATCACATGATTTTGTTAAATGCAGATAAAAGATAATCACTTCTTTAAATTGGACCATCACTCCTCTGAGTGTATAGTGTGGTATTAAATCCAAAAACAAAAATTGGTGCTTATGGGTTACCCTGTTACAAAAAAAATGTGTCTTGTATCCCCTGTTCTTATGGGAAGACCTGTAATATGTTTTTTATGCTTGTCTCCTGTGCTCATAGGGTGGCCTATAATAAGAATGTGTGCCCTGTGCATGTCCCCAGATAATGTCAATATTCGCATTGCACACTTTCCTGAATAAGGCTCAGGAGTAGCGGGACCTGATGACATGCCTGATGAAGGGGTCTTGCGTGGCTCCAAAACTTTGCACTTTTTTTCCACTGTGATGTGATCATTCTTCAATAAAGCTTTCTGACAGTACTTAATTATCCCGCTTTACGTTACCACCACCACCACGTGTTGGCGAATATGTACATTGATCTGTGCATGTCCCTTGTGCTGATGCAGTGACCTGTAATGAAAACCTGTCATCTTTGCATGTCCCCTGTGCTTATAGGGTGACCTATTACGAGAACATGTGTCCTTTCTGCTTGTCACTGATGCTTACTGGGGTTACCTGTAACAAGAACATACACTATATTACCAAAAGTATTGGGACGCCTGCCTTTACACACACATGAACTTAAATGGCATCCCAGTCTTAGTACGTATGGTTCAATATTGAGTTGGCCCATCCTTTGCAGCTTTAACAGCTTCAACTCTTCTGGGAAGGCTGTCCACAAGGTTTAGGAGTGTGTCTATGGTAATGTTTTGACCATTCTTCCAGAAGCAAATATGTGAGGTCAGGCACTGATGTCAGTCGAAGAGGACTGGCTTACAGTTTCTTCTTTAATACACCCCAAAGGAATTCTATTGGGCTGAGGTCAGGACTCTGTGCAGGCCAGTTAAGTTCCTCCAACCCAAATTCGCTCATTCATGTCTTTATGGACCTTGCTTTGTGCACTGGTGCACAGTCATGCTGGAACAGGAAGAGGCCAACACCAAACTGTTCCCACAAAGTTGGGAGCATGAAATTGTCCAAAATGTCTTGGTATGTTGATGCCTTAAGAGTTCCCTTAAGTGGAACTAAGGGGCCAAGCCCAACCTCTGAAAAACAACCCCACACCATAATCCCCCCTCCACCAAACTTTACACTTGGCAAAATGCAGTCAGGCTAGTACCTTTCTCCTGGCAACCATCAAACCCAGAAATGTCCATCGGATCGCCAGACAGAGAAGCATGATTCGTCACTCCAGAGAACACGTCTACACTTCTCTAGAGTCCAGCGGCAGCGTGCTTTACAGCACTGCATCCAATTGCACTTGTTGATGCAAGGCTTGGATGTAGCTGCTCAGCCATGGAAACCCATTCCATAAAGCTCTTAATGCACTGTTGTGCATCTGCAATCTGAAGGCCAGACGAAGTTTCGAGGTCTTTATCTATTGACTCTGCAGACAGCGACTTCTGCGCATTGTGTGCTTCAGTGTGCGCTGACCCCGCTCTGTCATTTTACATGGCCTACCACTTCGTGGCTGAGTTGCTGTGTTTCCCATTTGCTTCCATTTTGTTATAATACCACTAACAGTTGACTGAAGAATATTTAGTAGCAAGGAAATTTCATGGATGGACTTCTTGCACAGGTGGCAATCTATCATGGTACCGCGCTTGAATTCACTGAGCTCCTGAGAGCGACCCATTCTTTCACAAATGTTTGTAGAAGCAGTCTGCATGTCTAGGTGCTTGATTTTATACACCTGTAGCCATGAAGATGATAGGAACACCTGAATCCAATGAGTTGGAGGAGTGTCCCAATACTTTTGGCAATATAGTGTACATATCATTTGCTTCTTTCCAGTGCATGTATGGTGACTTGTAACAAAAACATGTGTCCTCTGTACAGTGCCTTGGAAAAAGTATTCATACCCCTTGACATTTTCCTTATTTTGTGATGTTGCAACCAAAATCATGAATGTATTTTATTGGGATTTTATGTGATCGATCAACACAAAGCGGCACATAATTGTAAAGTGTAAGAAAAATGATAAATGGTTTTCTAAATTTTTTTACAAATAAATATCTGAAAAGTGTGGTGTGCATTTGTATTCAGCCCCTCTGAGTCAATACTTTGTAGAACCATCTTTTGCTGCAATTACAGCTGCAAGTCTTTCTGGGGATGTCTCTTCCAGATTTGCACATCTAGAGAATTAAATTTCTGCCCATTGTTCTTTGTAAAATAGCTTAAGCTTTGTCAGATTGGATGGAGAGTGTCTGTGAACCGCAATTTTCAAGTCTTGCCACAGATTCTCAATTAGATTTAGGTCTGGACTTTAACTGGGCCATCCTAACACCTGAATATGCTTTGATCTAAACCATTCCATTGTAGCTCTGGCTGTATGTTTAGGGTTATTGTCCGGCAGGAAGGTGAACCTCCGCCCCAGTCTCAAGTCTTTTGCAGACTCCAACAGGTTTTCTTCTAAGATTGCCCTGTATCTGGCTCCATCCATCTTCCCATCAACTCTGACCAACTTCCCTGTCCCTGCTGACGAAAAGCATCCCCACAACATGATGCTGCCACCACCATGTTTCACGGTGTGAATGCTGTGTTCAGGGTGATGTAGTGTTCATTTTCCGCCACACATAACGTTTTGCTTTTAATCCAAAAAGTAAAATTTTGGTCTCATCTGACCAGAGCACCTTCTTTCACATGTTTGCTCTGTCCCCCACATGGCTTCTCGAAAACTGCAAACGGGACTTCTTATGGCTTTCTTTCAACAATGGCTTTCTTCTTGCTACTTTTCCATAAAGGCCAGATTTGTGGAGTGCACAACTAATAGTTGTCCTGTGGACAGATTCTCCCAACTGAGCTGTGGATCTCTGCAGCTCCTCCAGAGTTATCATCGGCCGCTTGGCTACTTCTCTGATTAATTGCTTTCCTTGTCCTTCCTGTCAGTTTAGGCGGACAGCCATGTGTTGGTAGGTTTGCAGTTGTGCCATACTCTTTCCATTTTCAGATGATGGATTGAACAGTGCTCCATGAGATGTTCAAATCTTGGGATATTTTTTATAACCTAACCCTGCTTTAAACTTCACAACTTTATCCCTGACCTGTCTGGTGTGTTCCTTGGCCTTCATGATGCTGTTTGTTCACTAATGTTCTCTAACAGAACTCTGAGGGCTTCACAGAACAGCTGTATTTTTTACAGGTGGATTCTATTTACTATTTAGGTGACTTTTGAGGGCAATTGGTTCCACTAGATTTTAGTTAGGGGTATCAGAGTAAAGGGGGCTGAATACAAATGCATGCCACACTTTTCACATATTTATTTGTAAAAAAAATTTAAAACCATTTATCATTTTCCTTCCATTTCACAATTATGTGCCACTTTTGTATTGGTCTATCACAAAAAAAATCCTAATAAAATACATTTACGTTTTTGGTTGTAAGATGACAAAATGTGGAAAATTTCAAGGAGGATGAATACTTTTTCAAGACACTGTACTGTCCCCTATGCTTATGAGGTGACCTGTAATGAGAGCAAGTGTCCTTTATGCTTGTCACCTGTGCTTGTAGGGTGACCTGCAACACGAACATGTGTCCTCTGTGCCTGTCCCTGTGCTTATTGGGGTCACCTGTAACAAGAATGTGTCATCTATGCTTGTCTTCTGTGCTTATAGGGTGACCTGTACCAAGAACACGTGTTCTCTAGTCTTGTACTGTGACCTATAACAAGAACGTGGGGTATATTTACTAAACCTGGAGCACTCACAATTTGGCTACCATGCAGAGCTGCAACAATCAGCTTCTAACTTCAGCTTGTTCAGTTAAACTTTGACAATAAAACCTGGAAGCTGTTTGGTTTCTATGCAGAGCTGAACCAGATTTTTCACTCTCCAGCTTTAGTAAATCTCCTGTGTGTATTGTATGTGTGTCCCTAGTGATTATGGGGTTATCTGTAATGAGAACATGAGTCCTTCATGCTTGAAGGGGGACTTCTAATGGACACCTCAAAATAAGCATTGTGCTGAGCTTTTTTTACCCCTCAAAATAGCATTTGTTCACTGAATGAAATGTTGTATATCCTTGAAGCCTGTTATCCTCTTTGCAAACATAAACCCTACATCAGATGTGACTTGCAATGTCTTGGACCTCTTCAGGCATGATGAAAAATATTTTTGAGGTGTCTTTTCAAGATTCAAACCCGAAGCACGCATTACAATTTAGTTATTGTACCCTAAAGAAAGTTTTATGTTTTGAACTGCTCCAGTGTGTCTGGAGTATTTATAATTCATTCCGCTAACATTTGCATGAATATACATGCTTAACTGAGTCTAGAGGGTTATGCAAAGATGCAGGTGCAAGAAATGTCTTATTTTTTTTCTGGTGTTCTCTCGCCATGCTGCGTCTGACACTGGTAAAAGAACAGAAGAAAAATTAGAGTTGTGGCGTGCTTTGTCAAAGGGGATTATATTATGCAGCGCAAGGACACTCTTGCTTGCAGACTTAAATGTGTGTACTGTATATATAGTCAAGGAACATATTTATTGGTTACTGCTCTTGAAAAAAGATTATGTCCAGAGAGAGGTTGCAGGCGTTAATTGCAAAGCTTACATTTCCCTGATAAAGTAGAACTATTATTATTGTTATTATTATAATATCACAAGATAACTATAGGCAAAACATTTTTTTTTTCTCATTTTGGATAGAGCAAGGGAGGTTTATAACCCCGTCAGAATTTTTTTTTTCACTATCTGTATCCTATTTCTGAGATTTACCTTCACTTTCAGTCCCATAGCCAAACAGGAGTTGAGAGGAAACCCCTGCAAATTGAGGGAATTTTTTGGGGACCCCCAGGTCATTAGGGTCCTCATTGGAAGATTTCCCCTCTATTACTTTTCTGGGAACCACCCAAAATTTAGGATCTTCCCTTTCGATGATAATGGTAAACAGGACAAAAAGAGGGGAATCTTTTTAACAGGGGATACAGGCAGCTATCAAAATCTGACAGGTGTTCTAATCTGTCTCCACTCTATCCAAAACTAAAAAAAAGCTTTACCTTTTACTTTACTTTAAGGCTTGGCCGTGCCCTCTATTATCACCTAAACCTCTCTATTGGTTAGTGAAGCTGTCCATCACATTCAAACCCCGTACACAGAGGCCAAATATTGGCCAAAAGCAGCTGGTACAGTGAAAACCGGCCGACATTTGGCCGATGTGTACAGGTTCTTGTCCGACAGAAGCTGATGTCATGCTGGAAAACTAGCAGCCAATCGGCATCCAATCAGTGCTCTCAGGCAGTGGCTGCAAGTGCTGATCTGTGTGTTTTGTCGGGGGGCCATCCCCCTGTCATAACTCAATAGCTCAGTGGGGAGATTGCTGTACTAACATCGCTTAGTTAGTACAGGGACCTCCTTGCAAGCTCCTCCGTTTTTTCATTCAGCCTGCTGGGTTGAACAAAAAAAAAAAAATTCCCATGTATACCAGGCTGAAAAAAATCACAGTGTGGGGTACACAGCTAGGCACACTACTGTACCAACTTCCTTCTTCTATCTAGCTTCAGAGGCGGCTTTCAACAGCCCTCCAGTGGTGCTGTTCCCCGCTGGCCCCTCCTCCCCTCCCTCCTATCCTGTCCCAGATGATGTCACATACAAACACCCAGGATGGACAGGAGAGGAGGAGGGGCTGGCGGGGAACAGGTAGAAACCCTGGGTGAGAAACACTGCGTTAGGCAAATTAGGCGACCACGAGGCCCCTGTGAGTGCGACGCCTTAGGCTCTCGCCTAATTTGTCTAAAGAGCTGTCTCTGGTTCTCACAATGGATGCTAGCGTGTGAGGCTGCGGTGCAATTTTGGACAACCTCTTGATGCAGGGAAGGTGGTCATCTGAATAAGCTTGCCTTCCCACAACATTCTGGAACTCAGGGTGATTCAGTTGTCTCTTCAATGTTGGACTCCCCTTCTGTGAGGACACCTGCCAAGAATCCAGTTGAACAGTGTCAAGTCCATGGTCTACATCAATAATCAAGAAAGCACCGCTGTAAAAGAAGCATACTTGATCCTATCTTGGCAGAACTTTATGCTCCCTAGGTATGGAACATTGGCGACCAGATCTTCTCACTTGCCAGCATCTGACCCTTGCAGAGTAGGCCCTCCATACCAAGGTATGTCAAGCCCTTTGCCACAGATGGGGCGGGCCAGACATAGATCTACTGGTGTCAAAGTTCAACAACAAACGGGGCAAGTTTATCACCAGGGACTCTCGGGCCTTCGCAGTGGATAACCTGGTGACTTTTTGGGATCAGTGTAGCCTGATCTATGACTTTTTCCCTCCAGATTCTCCCAGCATCAGGATGCAGGATATTCAGGTGATCCTCATTGATCTGAATTGACCCAGGAGGAAATGGTACTCCCGACTGATACTCCGTGGCTTGTTTTTGTTTATCTGCACCCCAAGTCCCAAGGGCCAGTATTCATCCTGCTTCTTGCTTGCTGGCTTTAATGGCATGGCTGTTAAAGCCACTGTACTGATGGGCAGGGAGCTTTTTGGACTCAGTCACCCCTGCACTGTTTGAGGCTAAGAAGCCGACTTAATGCATAGTCTGTTATCGCACATGGAAATTCTTATTTTGTACTGTGTGAGCTGAAGAACTTTCAATCAAGAAAGTTTGCCATGGGATGTATTCTGTCTTTCATTCAGTTCAAGCAGGACCAGCATCTGGCCTTCTGTACAATCAATGGACAAATCTTG